TTGCTCATTAGCTGTGACTTTTCCAACAGTTCTGTGACTCACTTCATTAAACATTAACAGACTGTGTCCATGACGTCCGTGTCTGAGTCGTCGTCATCACGGACAGAGTTTGAAAACAGGGCGTTGGAGCAGAAGGGTCGGGGGTGTGTGTGTTTTTAATGATGTCGTCACATAAAGGCACAGATCAAACACCAATCCCAGGATCCTCTTTTGGACTCATTTCAGGAGAAGTGAGGTTTTGACGACTTCATCAAAGTGAGTTCATTTAGAGTAAAGTCCGATGATGACGATGATGAAGATGAAGAGGTGGGAAACGACTCGTCTTCCTCCTGCATTAGAGGAGCGCGGCTTTGAAGTCTGCTGCACTTTTGACGATCGAAGCGCTTCATAGCTGAAATCGTAACACGTATAATTCATTAATTTGTAGCTCGTCGCGGGCAAAAAGTTGTGCTGAAGACGAGGCAAACATGGAAAAGCCTCGGATCGAAGATGAAAGAAACTCAGAGGAACTTCAAGGTTTGTTCAGTTTTCTGTTTTATTTGAAGCAGAGAAAAGTCCATGACATGAGAATAACATGCAGCACTTTCCTGATCTCTCCACATTCTGACATGTGTGAACTTTTTATTTAATCTAACATGTTAAAATGTAAAACTTAGTTGAGTTAAAAATACTAGAAATCTGTAAAAACCAAAGATATTGCTGCAGGTCGTTCATCTTTCGTCAAATGAGATAAAGTCGCTACAATCTGAACGGTTTGCTTCGGTTTGAAACGAGAAAGTCCAGAACTAACATTAAAAACAGATGTGTCTGACATTGGAGTAAAAATGATGAGTTTAAGTTAATACATTTAAAACAACCTAAAACGTCCCATAATAAGTATTTACATTTTCACACTGGTTTGCACTCTTTACTTTTTGTCCACACATCCCCTTTTCCCTTGTAATGGGCAGAGAAGCTAACAGTAAAAGACAAGATGAGTAAAGAATCCAAAAATAGAATAAAGATAAATGAATAGATACTAACAATAACAATAACCCTGTTCAGGTTAATATACACAAACTGAACCAGCCAATCAGAGCCGTCTATGGTCATGCAGCAAACTCTCTGGAGCTCAAGCGTGACTCCAGAGTAAACATCAAGGAGGACGAAGAGGATGGTGATAGTTCGCAGTTTGTTTATAACAGAGAAAAAAAGTTATCAAAAGAAAAGACAAAGGTCAAAGAAGACAATTCGAGCTCAGACGATCTTCCATCTCCGACGTCCACCGCTAAGTAAGTAAGTAATGTTTATTTATATAGCACCTTTCACAGACCAGAGTCACAAAGCGGTGTACAATTGTTATTTTTGGGCATCTGCCTCACTCCACACAGAGATGGGAGGGGCCGGGAGGCACAGACCTATTGTACATGTTTTTAGTGGTAGGGGAAACCGCAGTAACCGGAGGAAACCTACGCAGACACGGGGAGAACATGCAAACAAAAGGCCCTGGTCCCACCGGGATTCGAACCCAGGAGCTTCTTGCTGAGAGGCGAGAGTGCTATCCACTCAGCCACCGTGCCGCTAAGGGTTACTTTTCATTCCGGTGTTTCCTGGCTGCCTCGTCTTCTGATTGGCTAAAGCTGCAGTCACCAAGAGACCTCGAGCCAAAACAAATCTGAGAAGTCCCAAAGTCCTTCTGAGCGACGCAGTCTTAACCACACGTGGAAAATCCCTCAGACTATTTTACCAAAATCGGAGCGTTTTTAAGATTGTCGTCAGGGGGGAATCGGGTCTGAAATCAGGTCTTGAATCAGGTCTTGAATCAGGTCTTGAATGGGTCGAATCATCCCGCCGTGTGAACCAGGCTTTACTTTCCTATGTGTCAGCTAACTTGCCTAAAGGGGCAGAGCACAGAGCAATGCGGCAGGACTGAAACTGAAAGTATGCAAACTGGTTTCCTTCACGACATTTCCAAGGTTGCGGCGGTGGCGGGCTCATTACGGGGCGTATGTGACGGCAGCTGTTCATTAAGGCGCGTCCTGTCCCTTTAAACTGGCATCAAAGCACCGTAAATGCTGCAGACGAGAGCTCAAAGTGCGCGGCTCCTTCCAGGACTTCACAGGTGAATTCAAAGGCTCCGTGTGGGCTTTTATGTGTGTCCAAGTAATGAGTGAATGAAGCCGGCTCTGACACGTGGCTTTGTGCGCACGCAGACGCCGGGACGCCGTGTGCTGGTCCACACGCTCAAAGCCGAGGCCAAGGTGACGGACGAGCTTCAGGACAAACTCGGAACACGCTGCTCCACTTTTAACACAGACACAGCGGGAAATTATGATTAACAAATGGTTTGCTTTGATAATGAGGAAGAAGAAAGAAGCCACAGAGCAGAAGAATGTATGTGTGTCTTACCATGTGTAAACTCTGGTCTTACCATGTGTAAACTCTGGTCTTACCATGTGTAAACTCTGGTCTTACCATGTGTAAACTCTGGTCTTACCATGTGTAAACTCTGGCCTTGCCATGTGTAAACTCTGGTCTTACCATGTGTAAACTCTGGCCTTACCATGTGTAAACTCTGGCCTTACCATGTGTAAACTCTGGTCTTACCATGTGTAAACTCTGGTCTTACCATGTGTAAACTCTGGCCTTACCATGTGTAAACTCTGGCCTTACCATATGTAAACTCTGGCCTTACCATGTGTAAACTCTGGCCTTACCATGTGTAAACTCTGGCCTTACCATGTGTAAACTCTGGTCTTACCATGTGTAAACTCTGGTCTTACCATGTGTAAACTCTGGTCTTACCATGTGTAACCTCTGGTCTTACCATGTGTAAACTCTGGTCCATGATCCTCTCCTACATGTACGTCTGGTCTTACCATGTGTAAACTCTGGACCATGTAGAATGTGATAGTAAAATAATCTGTTCTGGTTCAATCTAAATATGAAGAAACTGAAGCCGGAGCAAGAGGAATGTTTAGTAAATGTCATTGAAGCAAAGATGTTGTGGCTCTACTCCCCACGGGCTCCGTTAGTGACAAAGGAGATGCTAAAGCTAGGCTACATGCTAAAGCTAGGCTAATGCTAAAGCTAGGCTAAATGCTAAAGCTAGGCTAAATGCTAAAGCTAGGCTACATGCTAAAGCTAGGCTAATGCTAAAGCTAGGCTAAATGCTAAAGCTAGGCTAAATGCTAAAGCTAGGCTACATGCTAAATGCCTCACACACTCGGCCTCAGATCCAATGGTTTCAATCTGCAAAAGCAGTTAGCCCCTCCCACCTGTCTCTCTTACGTGTGTCTTATGTGTGTCTTATGTGTGTCTTATGTCTCTCTTACGTGTGTCTTATGTGTGTCTTATGTCTGTCTTATGTGTGTGTCTTATGTGTGTCTTATGTCTGTCTTATGTGTGTCTTATGTCTCTCTTATGTGTGTCTTATGTCTCTCTTATGTGTGTCTTTTGTGTGTCTTATGTGTGTCTTATGTGTGTTGTCGATGCTCTGATTGCCCGACACGTAAATAAACTAATAAATGCCTTTTATCAACAGCACACACAGTGGAAACACCGCCCTAATCCACACAAACCTCCAGAACGTGCAGCAGGATGTTTTTGACGTGGAAACAATGTTGTAACGTGGTTAAAGTCTCAGAAGAAGTGGGTTTAGCATAATGTCTGCTTCGGGGAAAGAACAAAACATGGTGTTTGTTGTTCCATTGACAGGTCTTTGACAGTCCCACGCTCTCACATCAATATTTATCACTTCATTTGGTTTCCTCGTCTCGCACACGAAGCAGTCGATCCGTGAATGAAATCCAAACACCAGGCCGCAGACTTCCAGAGCTCGTCAGTCGGCTGCTGCTCCTCATCAGCTGTTTCTGGTGTTTGGAGGAGGTCACATTATCCACTTTCATGCTCTGAGGACGCTCCAGAAGGTTTCAGTCTGCGTCTCACTGTCTTTACTAATATCTGTGCTACTGGAGACTAGGGAGAGAGACCAGAGAGAGAGACCAGAGAGAGAGACCAGAGAGAGAGACCAGAGAGAGAGAGACCAGAGAGAGAGACCAGAGAGAGAGACCAGAGAGAGAGACCAGAGAGAGAGAGACCAGAGAGAGAGACCAGAGAGAGAGACCAGAGAGAGAGAGACCAGAGAGAGAGACCTAGAAAGAGACCAGAGAGAGACCAGTGAGAGACCAGAGAGAGACCAGAGAGAGACCAGAGAGAGGGACCAGAGAGACTACAGAGAGACACCAGAAAGAGACACCAGAGAGAGAGACCAGAGAGAGACCAGAGAGACTAGAGAGAGACCAGAGAGACTAGAGAGAGACCAGAGAGACTAGAGAGAGACCAGAGAGACAAGAGAGAGACCAGAGAGAGAGACCAGAGAGAGAGACCAGACAGAGACCAGAGAGAGAGACCTAGAAAGAGACCAGAGAGAGACCAGTGAGAGACCAGAGAGAGACCAGAGAGAGACCAGAGAGAGACCAGAGAGAGACCAGTGAGAGACCAGAGAGAGAGACCTGAGAGACACAGAGCAATGAGAAAGAGGGAGAATGACGGACAAAAAACACCCGTGAAAGACAAAGACGAACAAGAGAACAAGCAGTGCTGTCGATTTAAAGCAGAGGTACCTAACTTTTGTCACAGGTCACGTGTTTGTCAGGGTTTGGTTCAGGACAAACTCTTCATCTGCTGTTTTTGACTTTCTCGCTGAGATAAAGTTGGGTTAGCGTCTTTCTAACCTCTGCATTCACACCGGTGTCGTTCCTAATAACCGTGGCCTTGTTACGCACCGTGCAGCGTTGGATGTTTCAATTACTGTCTTTTCAAATCTGGAACAAATCAGAGCTCCATGGAATCAGGTCATGAAAACACATTATGGTTTCCCCAAATAAAAAGCTCCTCATTCCACGTTGTTTATGAGCTCCTGTCTCACTGTCTCCGAGGTCTCCAGAGGCTCGTCCTCCAGTCTCTGTGGTTATGATTGTTTACTCTTCCTCTTAAAGCTGCGGGACTTGACTTGAAAAGACATATTAGATTGTAAATGGATATTGTTTTGAAATAATCAGACCCAAAAAAGTCTTTTGCACACTTTAAAAAAAGCTCAGCGAGTCACGATCATAGACTGTAAATTATTATTATTATTATTTCAAGATAGAGATTTTATACTTGTTATTGATGCTCGAGTTGGAGATTGAGTTTTATTTTAGTTTGTATATCTACTGTTCACCTAACGTGTGCCGTGTGCTCCACATTCCTACTGTTCTATAACTTGTGATGCAACACTGAAATTTCCCCACTGTGGGACCAATAAAGGATGTCTTTAATCTTAATCTTAACAGAAGTAGTCACACCTTTCTCCCCCAATGAAACTAACGTGACATCACCTTTGGCTTCTATAGTGCTTTTTCAAAATGGCCGCGGGCAGCCCCTCCCTCAGGAAAATGTTAAAAAACACATTTTCACATGAGTCAGCTGCACAAGCATCTGATTCATTTAACGAGTGCATTCTAAAGTCCACAGCGACTGAACTAGACTGGTCCAAAAACATATACTCCCCTCAGACAGCATCTGGAACCAAGAGGACCAAGAACCACTTTAGGACCAAGAGCCACTTTAGGACCAAGAACCACTTTTGGACCAAGAGCCACTTTTGGACCAAGAACCACTTTTGGACCAAGAGCCTCGTTTGGACCAAGAGCCTCGTTTGGACCAAGAGCCTCGTTTGGACCAAGAACCACGTTTGGACCATCCTGTAAAGACTTTTTTTTTGTGTAATTCTATTTCCGGGTACACCCCCACAGCCTGGTGGTATTGCAGTATGTACACACATAGGACCCGCCCCCAGTGTGTCAGTATTTGATCTGATGGGAGTCGAGGGGTGGTCCTCGCCTCTGTCTCTAAAGATGTGTGATACATTTGAGAAATAGTGATGAATTTTTACTTTTTGTTGTGTTTTTGTGGGTTGAAAATTAGGGACCACAGCTTTAACCCTGTAGCGCCGCAGATACAAACATGCAACATACATTTGTGCATTGGGCGGCACTGGTTTGTACTCTCACTTCTCAGTAAGAAGGTCCCGATTGGAACAAGACTTTTCTGAGTGGAGCTTGCATGTTTTCTCCGTGTCTGCGTAGGTTTCCTCCAGGTGCTCCGGTTTCCCGCACCTCTATAAACATGAACAATAGATCTGACAAGTGTCTCCTGTAGATGACTGCTCCATCACAAACGCAACAACACAAAACAAAATCAGGACGAGTTATAAGAACCAGGAAGTTAGAAAGAATCTGTGAATATTTAAATGATCTAATTACTATCTAAATACTGCTAATTAATACGGACACTGTTTAACGGATTTACAGGTGTACTTTGAAACTTCGTACAGAGGAATCCTTCGTACATTACATAGAAAAACTCACAGCATTGAAGGCCTGTATAAGCACCATCCTTCTCTGGGATAATCAGACTTTCTCAGACTTAGGCCAGACTTCTTCATGGACCAGACTTTGGAGCTGTCTGGGACCTAGCTTAAAACTGCTAATACATGTTAATGGCACAATGCAACCTTCTGATGTGTCCTTGGACCTCATTGGACTTTCTGTGGAGTGGTTTAAGTCTCGTCTAAAAACCCATTTTTATGCTCTGGCTTTTAACACTGCGTGAGTCGTATGGTCCTTTTGTTTTGTTGTTAGGCCCGAGCCCCAACCGGGGTAAGGGCCTATTGCTTTTCCAACGAGTAATGCCTGGGCAAAGCATCACCAAACTTTGCAACAAGTTTTTTTCAGGCATAAAGTGTATTATTTTGGTAATTATCTTTGGTATAACACTAAAAACATTAAATTGTAGGGGGCGCTGTTGTACAACATTAAATAACACCATTTGCACATACAAAGTCCGATTTGCACAAAATTTGAACTGATTGTTCAACTCTCGGGTTTGGGTAAACTGAAAGTGTTAAAGACGAAATTGCAGCAATAGCGCCCCCTACAGACTGAGTCAAGTATTACATGGGGATAATGAGGATTACCTTTTCAAAGACACACACAATCACTGATCATAGGCATTCAAAATCCACAGTGTCGCTCCCATCAGGGCGGTAGGAAAATGGCGCGCTAGCGCCACCTCGGTTGCGTTGAGCGACAAGGGCCGTTCGACGCCGCTTGCGGCTTTAATTATTTTTATGTTTATACATAAATGCACACACAGTTTTTCCTAATTGATTTTTTTTTCAATTGTATTTATTTGGTTGTTTTGTGTTTGTGGTTTTGTGTGCCTCATAATAACAATAATAATAATATCAATAAAATCAAACAAAAAGAGGAGAAAATGAGAAAAAATACACAGCTCCATACACACAGCTAATTAGTTAATCATTAGTGGTTTGAAAGTCAGGTACCCCAGCTTTAGCAGCAGTCTTCCCTCACATCCGCCCCCCACAGAGACCTCTGCAGCCTCAAGAACAAACTCGTGAGTAAAGATTCCTCGCTCGTCTTTTAACCCACATTATCTTTGAGCCGGCATCACATTGTGGCACTAAATCCGGCGTAGCCTTTGGCGGCGTCTGTCACCGCGGCGACAGCGTGACGTACGGGTTCCTGCTGATTGCCGAGATTTTTTATCCCGCCTTCGTATCGATTTCACGGAGCAGCTGGGAGCGATCGGGAATTACTCCGGTTTAACAAGTGCTTGGATCAACGTTTTTTCTTCTTCTTCTCTCTGAGGGCGTTAGAGAGAGACCAGAGCGAGACCAGAGAGAGAGAGACCAGACAGAGAGAGACAAGAGAGAGACCAGAGAGAGACTAGAGAGAGACCAGAGAGAAACCAGAGAGAGACCAGAGAGAGACCAGAGAGAGAGAGACCAGAGAGAGAGACCAGAGAGAGACTAGAGAGAGACCAGAGAGAGACCAGAGAGAGACCAGAGAGAGACCAGAGAGAGAGACCAGAGAGAGACTAGAGAGAGACCAGAGAGAGACCAGAGAGAGATGGGAGAGACCAGAGAGAGAGACCAGAGAGAGACCAGGGAGAGACCAGGGAGAGCGAGGAGAGAAAGACCAGAGAGGGAGACCAAAGGTTTAACAAGTGTTTGGATCAACGTTTTTTTCTTCTTCTCTCTCTGAGGGCGTTACAGAGAGACCAGAGCAAGACAAGAGCGAGACCAGAGAGAGACCAGAGAGAGACAAAAGGGAGATCAGAGAGAAATGGGAAAGACCAGAGAGAGAGACTAGAGAGAGACCAGAGAGAGAGACCAGAGAGAGACCAGAGAGAGAGACTAGAGAGAGACCAGAGAGAGACCAGAGAGAGACCAGAGAGAGACCAGAGAGAGAGACCAGAGAGAGACCAGAGAGAGAGACCAGAGAGAGACCAGAGAGAGACCAGAGAGAGACCAGAGAGAGAGAGACCAGAGAGAGAGACCAGAGAGAGACCAGAGAGAGAGAGACTAGAGAGAGAGACAAGAGAGAGACCAGTCCAACATGGATTATGTTGTAATCCCCCCTCGGTCCCCCCCCTCCCTCGGTGACCCCCTCGGTCACTGTTTTTGAAGCAGTCAGGAACTTTAATCCGTGAATGTCAAGGTGAGGCGTGAGGCAGAGACGGCGTGGCCTTGGTCTGATGAGGTCCCATTGATCTTTGACGACTTTCAATAACTGCATTAGAACCAAAACCTTCTGTGGCTAACGTCGCTACAACATTTATTGGAACATTGTTGATCCATATCGAGGGACATGGATTGATCTCAGTCGCTGTGATAGATACACGATCAGCAGAGAGATCCATCAGGGCAAACACATGAACACTGTCCATGAATATTAATGAGCATACATGTTGTTGGATGTGTGGGGTCTTAGATCATCTTAAAACAGAGTGAGAAAATAAAAACATTCAGCTGGTCCGAGGATTCAGAAGATATTTACTAATTTGACCAAGACGACCTGTTGTGGTCTGATTTCTTTGGTTTTCTGTCGGGACACACAGTACAACATGGATTATTAATGAAGACAAAAAGTTTATAATGGAGTGGTCGCCATGACAACCACAACAGACCTAACAACAGACTCATCAAAGGAAACGGCTTCATCCACAGGTGGTTAAAAAACTGCTGCAGAGGGAGACCAGAGAGAGACCAGAGAGAGAGAGACCAGAGAGAGACCAGAGAGAGAGATCAGAGAGAGACCAGAGAGAGAGACCAGAGAGAGAGACCAGAGAGAGACCAGAGAGAGGCCAGAGAGAGAGAGACCAGAGAGAGACCAGAGAGAGAGATCAGAGAGAGACCAGAGAGAGACCAGAGAGAGAGACCAGAGAGAGGCCAGAGAGAGAGAGCCAGAGAGAGACCAGAGAGAGAGACCAGAGAGAGAGACCAGAGAGAGAGATCAGAGAGAGACCAGAGAGAGACCAGAGAGAGAGACCAGAGAGAGGCCAGAGAGAGAGAGACCAGAGAGAGAGAGACCAGAGAGAGAGACCAGAGAGAGACCAGAGAGAGACCAGAGAGAGAGAGACCAGAGAGAGAGAGACCAGAGAGAGAGACCAGAGAGAGACAGAGACCAGAGAGAGACAGAGAGAGACCAGAGAGAGAGACCAGAGAGATACCAGAGAGAGAGAGACCAGAGAGAGACCAGAGAGAGACCAGAGAGAGACCAGAGACCAGAGAGAGACCAGAGAGAGAGATCAGAGAGAGACCAGAGAGAGACCAGAGAGAGACCAGAGAGAGAGAGACCAGAGAGAGACCAGAGAGAGAGACCAGAGAGAGACCAGAGAGAGACCAGAGAGAGAGAGACCAGAGAGAGAGACCAGAGAGAGACAGAGACCAGAGAGAGACCAGAGAGAGAGACCAGAGAGACACCAGAGAGAGACCAGAGAGAGACCAGAGAGAGACCAGAGAGATACCAGAGAGAGAGACCAGAGAGAGACCAGAGAGAGACCAGAGAGAGACCAGAGAGATACCAGAGAGAGAGAGACCAGAGAGAGACCAGAGAGAGACCAGAGAGAGACCAGAGAGAGACCAGAGAGAGACCAGAGGGAGACCAGAGGGAGACCAGAGAGAGACCAGAAAGAGACCAGAGAGAGACCAGAGAGAGACCAGAGAGATACCAGAGAGCGAGAGACCAGAGAGAGACCAGAGAGAGACCAGAGAGAGACCAGAGAGATACCAGAGAGAGAGAGACCAGAGAGAGACCAGAGAGAGACCAGAGAGAGACCAGAGAGAGACCAGAGAGATACCAGAGAGAGAGAGACCAGAGAGAGAGAGACCAGACAGAGAGACACGGGAGAGACCAGAAAGAGACAGAGACCAGAGAGAGACCAGAGAGAGAACCGAGAGAGAGACAGGGGAGAGACCAGGGAGAGACCCGCTAGAGACCAGAGAGAGACTCAAACGAGACCAGAGAGAGACGAGAGAAAGACCAGAGATGGAGACCAGAGAGAGACCAGAGAGAGACCAGAGAGAGACCAAAGGGAGACCAGAGAGAGAGACCAGAGAGACAGACCAGAGATAAATCAGAGATAGAGAGGAGAGCTCCTCTCTCGTGTCTCCTCACTCCTGTCTCCTGTCTCCTCTCTCCTCTCTCTCTCTCCTCTCTCTGTCTCTTGTCTCCTCTCTCGTGTCTCCTCACTCCTGTCTCCTCTCTCCTCTCTCCTGTCTCCTCTCTCCTGTCTCCTCTCTCCTCTCTCCTCTCTCCTGTCTCTTGTCTCCTCTCTCGTGTCTCCTCTCACTCCTGTCTCCTCTCTCGTGTCTCCTCTCTCCTGTCTCCTGTCTCCTCTCTCGTGTCTCCTCTCTCCTGTCTCCTCTCTCGTGTCTCCTCTCTCCTGTCTCCTGTCTCCTCACTCCTCACTCCTGTCTCCTCACTCCTGTCTCCTCACTCCTGTCTCCTGTCTCCTCACTCCTGTCTCCTCACTCCTGTCTCCTGTCTCCTCTCTCGTGTCTCCTGTCTCCTGTCTCCTCTCTCGTGTCTCCTCTCTCCTGTCTCCTCTCTCGTGTCTCCTCACTCCTGTCTCCTGTCTCCTCTCTCGTGTCTCCTCTCTCCTGTCTCCTCTCTCGTGTCTCCTCACTCCTGTCTCCTGTCTCCTCTCTCCTGTCTCCTCTCTCGTGTCTCCTCACTCCTGTCTCCTGTCTCCTCTCTCCTGTCTCTTGTCTCCTCTCTCGTGTCTCCTCTCTCCTGTCTCCTCTCTCGTGTCTCCTCACTCCTGTCTCCTGTCTCCTCTCTCCTGTCTCTTGTCTCCTCTCTTGTGTCTCCTCTCTCCTGTCTCCTCACTCCTGTCTCCTCTCTCCTGTCTCCTCTCTCGTGTCTCCTCACTCCTGTCTCCTGTCTCCTCTCTCCTGTCTCTTGTCTCCTCTCTCGTGTCTCCTCTCTCCTGTCTCCTCACTCCTGTCTCCTCTCTCCTGTCTCCTGTCTCCTCTCTCGTGTCTCCTCACTCCTGTCTCCTGTCTCCTCTCTCCTCTCTCCTCTCTCCTGTCTCTTGTCTCCTCTCTCGTGTCTCCTCACTCCTGTCTCCTGTCTCCTCTCTCCTCTCTCCTGTCTCCTCTCTCCTGTCTCCTCTCTCCTCTCTCCTGTCTCTTGTCTCCTCTCTCGTGTCTCCTCACTCCTGTCTCCTCACTCCTGTCTCCTCTCTCCTGTCTCCTGTCTCCTCTCTCGTGTCTCCTCTCTCCTGTCTCCTCTCTCGTGTCGCCTCTCTCCTGTCTCCTGTCTCCTCACTCCTCACTCCTCACTCCTGTCTCCTCACTCCTGTCTCCTCACTCCTGTCTCCTGTCTCCTCACTCCTGTCTCCTCACTCCTGTCTCCTCACTCCTGTCTCCTGTCTCCTCTCTCGTGTCTCCTCTCTCCTCTCTCCTGTATCCTCTCTCGTGTCTCCTCTCTCCTGTCTCCTCTCTCGTGTCTCCTCTCTCCTGTCTCCTGTCTCCTCTCTCGTGTCTCCTCTCTCCTGTCTCCTCTCTCGTGTCTCCTCACTCCTGTCTCCTGTCTCCTCTCTCCTCTCTCCTGTCTCTTGTCTCCTCTCTCGTGTCTCCTCTCTCCTGTCTCCTCTCTCGTGTCTCCTCACTCCTGTCTCCTGTCTCCTCTCTCCTGTCTCCTCTCTCCTGTCTCCTCTCTCCTGTCTCCTCTCTCCTGTCTCCTCTCTCCTCTCTCCTCTCTCCTGTCTCTTGTCTCCTCTCTCGTGTCTCCTCACTCCTGTCTCCTCTCTCCTGTCTCCTGTCTCCTCTCTCGTGTCTCCTCTCTCCTGTCTCCTCTCTCGTGTCGCCTCTCTCCTCTCTCCTGTCTCCTGTCTCCTCTCTCCTGTCTCCTCTCTCCTGTCTCCTCACTCCTCACTCCTCACTCCTGTCTCCTCACTCCTGTCTCCTCACTCCTGTCTCCTGTCTCCTCACTCCTGTCTCCTCACTCCTGTCTCCTCACTCCTGTCTCCTGTCTCCTCACTCCTGTCTCCTCACTCCTGTCTCCTGTCTCCTCACTCCTGTCTCCTCTCTCCTGTCTCCTCTCTCGTGTCGCCTCTCTCCTCTCTCCTGTCTCCTCACTCCTCACTCCTCTCTCGTGTCTCCTCTCTCCTGTCTCCTCTCTCGTGTCTCCTCTCTCCTCTCTCCTCTCTCGTGTCTCCTCACTCCTGTCTCCTCACTCCTGTCTCCTGTCTCCTCTCTCCTGTCTCTTGTCTCCTGTCTCGTGTCTCCTCTCTCCTGTCTCCTCACTCCTCACTCCTCTCTCGTGTCTCCTCACTCCTGTCTCCTGTCTCCTCACTCCTGTCTCCTGTCTCCTCACTCCTGTCTCCTCTCTCCTGTCTCCTCTCTCGTGTCGCCTCTCTCCTCTCTCCTGTCTCCTCACTCCTCACTCCTCTCTCGTGTCTCCTCTCTCCTGTCTCCTGTCTCCTCTCTCGTGTCTCCTCTCTCCTCTCTCCTATCTCCTCTCTCGTGTCTCCTCTCTCCTCTCTCCTGTCTCCTCTCTCCTCTCTCCTGTCTCCTCTCTCCTCTCTCCTGTCTCCTCTCTCCTCTCTCCTGTCTCCTCACTCCTGTCTCTGAGGGCGAGAAGTGAGAGCAGCTTTTAAACTGTACTAATTAGGGAAGTTAAGTGTGTGTTGTGTGTTGAGTGTGTGTGTGTGTTTGTGTGTGTGTTGTGCGTTAAGTGTGTGTGTTGTGTGTTAAGTGTGTGTGTGTGTGTTTGTGTGTGTGTTGTGCGTTAAGTATATGTGTGTGTGTGTGTGTTGGGACAGGTGATATGCTGTGGCTAACTACCAGAGATGGATTGTATGGATTGAGTTAACGTTGTATGTTTTCTCTTTCGAAAGGACACATTTCCTTTCCCCCCATTTTATAAAACAATATAATTTTTTCTTCTCCTTTTGGCAAATCTGATTCAATTAATCAGTGTGTGAACAGTTTCACTGTTTGACAATGCTTCACTAGATAGATTTCAAAATACAAATGAAAATGCATAAAAAACGAACAAAGGAATATAAATATACAGTAACTTTAAAAAGTATTATAAGTAAAACTCTGATTAAACTGTGGAGGCTTTATTAAGACACATTTATCACATTTGTTTTGTGTTATTTGCATCAGTTTTTGCAGTGTACGGTTCAAACAACACACACAGAGTGTTCAGACTCAGCACATTCCTGTCGTCTTTAAGGTCACGGCGCTGGAATCATAAATGGATCCAAAGAACGCCACACGAGCCGCCGTGTCATCATCCCCTCGCCATCAGCTCCTCGCCATCAGCAGAGCGGCCGCAGCCCGAGGGCTGCACTGTAAACAACGCTCTGTGGCGCATGCTAACGAGGGCGCCACCCAACGCCGTCGCGCATGCTAACGAGGGCGCCACGGCACGCAGAGTTAGCATTCCACACAGAGACAGGCACCTGCAGCCGCATACAGAGCACCCACCACCCACTGAGGGAATCCTCCACAGGAGCCAGAGCAGTCAACACGACGGGTTTAAGTGTTTGATGTGTTTTCAAAGTTACGAACCCCAGCTTTAAGTTATTAGCAATGCTTCCAAGTTAAAGGAGCAGTATGTAATAATCTATCTATCTTTTATGCAGAATATTATTTACAATGATTAACTTTGTCCATTTTTCCCATTATCACCAGAAGTATGTTTTCTCCAACTTTCAGGATCAACCAATCACAGCGTCTGAAATGATGACGGGGTCGGCCACGCCTCCTCACTCAGAGGAGTTTTTGTCCATTCCTTGCTCTGAGTCTCTGAGAATGTTCTGGAATAATTTTTAGTAAGTAAGTAATGTTTATTTATATACCGCCTTTCACAGACCAGAGCCACAAAGCGGTTTACAATTGTTATTTAAGCTAATTGTTTTAAGTAAAGACTGTTAAGTTAGGAGCTCTCTGAGAATCTTAGACACACGCCCCTGATTGTCGCCTTTTCTGTCCTGGGACATTTATAAGAAGTTGGAGGTAGATCTGTTCAGCACATTCCTCCTTCAGACTGAAACAAACTCACATCCATCAGATCCATTTTGTCTTTGGTTTATTCAAGTTTGAATCATTTATGTTCCTTAAAAGTCTTTGTTAAAGTCACTAATGTTCTGTGTCATCAATAGTTTTACTCTGTCTCTTTCTAAATGTCTTCCTTCAGCAGAGGGAGGAGTGGGGTGTGACGGAGCTTATGTTGGATTTTTTGTTTTTATTTAATTTAATTTTGTACTTATGTTTAGGACCTGCTCGAAAATGGGAAAGAAAATGTGTGGCCCCACCCCTTCTGTCCTGTGCGGTCTCTTTCCAACAATGTCTCACAGATGTCTTTGTTCTAAAATCCTCCTTTTTCTGCAGTTACATAAATACATTGATGTGAAAAATACGACCGGGCCTCAGAACATGAAGTGGACCCCGTGGCGTGTGGAAGCGTGGCGTGTGGAAGCGTGGCGTGTGGAAGCGTGGCGTGTGGAAGCGTGGCGTGTGGAAGCGTGGCGTGTGGAAGCGTGGCGTGTGGAAGCGTGGCGTGTGGAAGCGTGGCGTGTGGAAGCGTGGCGTGTGGAAGCGTGGCGTGTGGAAGCGTGGCGTGTGGAAGCGTGGCGTGTGGAAGACCAGCGTAGTAAGAATACATCAATAAATAATTGGAAAGCTGCTGGAGATGGTCCGGTCTTTGAAAGCCCGAGGTACTCGCTCCATAGTAATGAATGCAGGTGTTAGCTTCGGTGTTAGCTTCAGTGTTAGCTTTGGTGTTAGCTTCGGTGTTAGCTTCGGTGTTAGCTTCGGTGTTAGCTTCGGTGTTAGCTTCGGTGTTAGCTTCGGTGTTAGCTTCGGTGTTAGCTTCGGGGTTAGCTTCGGGGTTAGCTTCGGGGTTAGCTTCGGTGTTAGCTTCGGTGTTAGCTTCGGTGTTAGCTTCGGTGTTAGCTTCGGTGTTAGCTTCGGTGTTAGCTTCAGTCTTAGCTTCGGTGTTAGCTTCGGTGTTAGCTTTGGTGTTAGCTTCAGTGTTAGCTTCGGTGTTAGCTTCGGTGTTAGCTTCGGTGTTAGCTTCGGTGTTAGCTTCGGTGTTAGCTTCAGTCTTAGCTTCGGTGTTAGCTTCGGTGTTAGCTTTGGTGTTAGCTTCAGTGTTAGCTTCGGTGTTAGCTTCGGTGTTAGCTTCAGTCTTAGCTTCGGTGTTAGCTTTGGTGTTAGCTTCGGTGTTAGCTTTGGTGTTAGCTTCGGTGTTAGCTGCGGTGTTAGCTTTGGTTTTAGCTTCGGTGTTAGCTTCAGTCTTAGCTTCAGTGTTAGCTTCGGTGTTAGCTTCGGTGTTAGCTTCGGTGTTAGCTTTGGTGTTAGCTTCGGTGTTAGCTTCGGTGTTAGCTTCAGTCTTAGCTTCAGTGTTAGCTTCAGTGTTAGCTTCGGTGTTAGCTTTGGTGTTAGTTTCGGCGTTAGCTTTGGTGTTAGCTTCGGTGTTAGCTTCGGTGTTAGTTTCGGCGTTAGCTTTGGTGTTAGCTTCGGTGTTAGCTTCGGTGTTAGCTTCGGTGTTAGCTTTGGTGTTAGCTTTGGTGTTAGCTTCGGTGTTAGCTTCGGTGTTAGCTTCAGTCTTAGCTTCGGTGTTAGCTTCGGTGTTAGCTTCGGTGTTAGCTTCAGTGTTAGCTTCAGTGTTAGCTTCGGTGTTGACCAGGGCCTTTCTGAGTGGAGTTTGCATGTTCTTCCCGTGTCTGCGTAGGTTTCCTCTGGGTGCTCCGATTTCCCCTACCACTAAAAATATGTACAATAGGTCTGGCATGTGCCTCCTGTACTGGCCCCACTCCCAAAAATAACAATTGTAAACCGCTTTGAGACTCCGATGTGCAGTGAAAAGCGGTATATAAATAAAGATTACTTACTTACTTACTTACTGTTAGCTTTGATGTTAGCTTTCTCTTGCTGCTCCTCGTTTGCTGCTTTTTTATCTCCTTTAATCATTTTTGCTTACATTTTTATTCCACAAAACACGGATTACTCCTTTTTACAAACTTCAACACAAGACTGGTGGAATTTACCTAACTTACAGCATGTCGGGAGGACGGGAAAATAGAACAAAACTTTGCGACGGCTGTTTTTCACTCAAACAGGAGCTAAAACTTCTTCAAGACCGAATGTTTGTGCTTGAATCAGAATTGGGGCTGAACACAACAATACCAGTGAAAGGAAATGGACCACATGGACAAAACGTAAGTTATGATGACGCTATTTCATTTCCCAAAATCAACAGAGACCATTGTTGGAACACATATGGTGCCAAGCCCAAACAAGGCAAAGCTAATGATAACAAGAGTGTCATAATGCCACAGCAAAAATCTTTAATTACAAGAAACCGCTTTTCACCACTTTTGGAAGATGAATCAGCAGTAGTCTCTCAGTCCCAGTCTCAGTCTCAGTCAAGGTCAAATGCAGCTGAGTCGCTCTTTATCGGGGATTCGGCGATAAGAAATGTAAATATGCGTAATCTCAAGGTTCACTCAGTACACTCTGCCAAAGTGGATGAGATAAGGCGGTTGGTTCCGAGGCTTCTGTCTGAGACCGGCGGGGTAAAAAGATTGTTGATCCACGTGGGGGCAGTAGACGTCTATGACAACACAAGTGAAAAGTTGAAACGGGATTATTCTCTCTTATTGGACGACCTTGCTAAAATGGACGTAACAATCGTTATCAGTGGCCCACTACCAAATGTGGACGGGAAGCAAATGAAATTCAGTCGTCTGTATCAGCTAAATACTTTCCTACTCAACGAATGTTCACGCAGAGGACTTGCCTTCATTGAGAATTTTAATCTGTTCTGGAATAGGCATGAGCTTTTTGAAGGGAAAGGGCCACATCTGAACACTTACGGAGTAAAAGTGCTGATGGATAACCTTTCTTTTGCCCTGAGATCTCAGCCTGCGCAGCGCGTGCAGCCATCGAAAGGGAGGAAGCCGACTCCAAAAGTCTCTGCACCTCCACCACCTCGAAGGATCTCAACACCACCACCACCTCGAAGGATCTCAACACCTCCACTGTCATCAGAAGCAGCTGCATCATCACCAGCAGCAGCTGCATCATCACCAGCAGCAGCTGCATCATTACCAGCAGCAGCTGCATCATCACCAGCAGCAGCTGCATCATCACCAGCAGCAGCTGCATCATCACCAGCAGCAGCTGCATCATCACCAGTAGCAGCTGCATCATCACCAGTAGCAGCTGCATCATCACCAGCAGCAGCTGCATCATCACCAGCAGCAGCTGCATCATCACCAGTAGCAGCTGCATCATCACCAGCAGCAGCTGCATCATCACCAGCAGCAGCTGCATCATCACCAGCAGCAGCTGCATCATCACCAGTAGCAGCACCAGCAGCACGACCACCACCACCATCCTCATCCCCAGCCTGCTCCAAAGCAGCCACGCCTTCTTCATCTACAGCGCCTCTGAAGCCCCAATCCTCACCCCAGCCTACAGCAGACAGGCCTGTGCTGGGGTTTCCTCAACCACCTGCCCCTCCATTAAAGACTCCCTCGCCACCTCCCAAGGACCTGTCTTGGGTCCCCCCTGCCACGTCCACTCCATCAAGAGAGAATGGGGACACCTCCCTTTGTTTTTCATCCCCGCCTTCACTGTTAGACCTACCTGAACACTCTGCAGGGCTAATAAAATCGGCGATGAAGACTATTCCTCTTACACCCATATTAGCTCGATCTAGAGTCCTGTCCAACATTCTAAACCACTCCCCATATGTACCTCCAAAACCACCTAGGGTTTCCAATTCACCTACAAAAACCACCTCAGCCAGTCCCTCCCCTAACCTCATGACCATTCCACCCCCACTTCCCCCTCGTTCAACATCCAAAACCTCTGCCTCAGCCCACCCCGGCCCTAACCCATCACCTAAAACCCCTCCACCTCCCTGCCCCCCTCGTTCAACACCCAAAAGCCACCCACCTCTCCATCCTCCTCCCCTGCCTTCCCCTTCCCCTCTTTTCTCTAAACACTAGGATGCACAGGGTCTCTGCTTCGCAGCCACTGGCAGTCTAGTTAGAGGAGAGACCCGGCTGGGGCCCTGTCATGAAGCCACCTGTGCCATTCCCTTAGTGATAACACAAAGAATACATTACAGAAAAACATCTGGAGTTAATCAGTCTAATCTGGAAAATCTAATTCTTGTTCCGTGTAAGAATCAGCCGACCGCAACCGCTGATACTGAAACTTTGAAACTTGCTACGCTTAATGTCAGATCTCTTTGTAACAAGTCTTTTTTAATCAATAATTTTATTTCTTCTCATAATCTTGATCTTATGTTCATGGCTGAAACTTGGCTTGACCAAAATTCAGAAAATGCAGTTTTAATAGAAGCATCACCACCAAATTTCAAGTTTGAATCTGAAATACGGGAAAACAAAAAAGGAGGAGGCTTAGCTGCCATTTTTAGAGACCACTTTGTCTCCCATAGAATGTCTCTTGGGAAGTTTTCGTCATTTGAATATGTGTCTTTTAAAATACAACAAAAACAATCTCCTCCAATACTCTTCGTTGTCCTATACAAGCCACCGCAGTCATGTCACAGTTTTATTGATCATTTTACCGAGTTGCTTTCAGTTGTATGCACAGATTTTGATAGTTTAGTTATTACAGGTGATTTTAATATTCATGTGGATAATGTTGATGACAGAAATGCAAATGAGCTGAGTTCTGTACTTGAATCCTTTGATCTCACTCAGCACGTAAGTGGCCCCACCCACAGCAGAGGGCACACTCTAGATCTGTTAGTTACAAAGGGGGTGATTATTTCAAATGTAAACGTGGTCGATGTTGCTCTTTCGGATCATTTCTGTGTTTTTTTTGACATGTGTTTCACTAACAAACCACCAGTGGACTCTGCAACTGTTCGAAGAAGGCGCATAAATGAAAATACGAGTGAACTATTTATGGAAATGATAAACTTTGAGAATGCATCGTATTCTACTGTAGATGAACTGTTTAACTCTTTCACCTCTAGTGTTTTGAATGTTCTGGATACCGTTGCCCCTGTGAAGGTTAAAATAGTGAAAAATAAGCAGAAGGCGCCGTGGGCTAAAGCAGACTCGGTCAGGGCACAAAAGAGAAAGTGCCGGAGGGCCGAGCGGAAGTGGCGCAAGTCCAACCTCCAGGTAGATTACGAGATCTTCAAAGATAAGTTGTGCGAGTTTAACCGGGTGCTACGTAGTACGAGAGAAAGGTATTTTTCTGAAATGATTGAAGGCTGCAGCAACAATCTGCGTGTTCTGTTCTCAACAGTTAATAGATTAACAAACCCCCCTGTTCAAATGCCATTAGAGCTTACTTCCAAACGTAAATGCAATGAGTTTGCTAATTTTTTCAATGACAAGGTTCAAGGCATCAAAAACGCCATTGTCTCCAATCCACAGATAACCATCCAACAACCAGAAAGGCTCTCTGAGCTAACTCACTTTGCACCTGTAAATGATAAAACTGTCCAAGAGATAATCTCCAGTTTGAGCTCCTCCACATGCAGCCTGGATGTACTACCCACTAGATTTCTGAAGTCTGTTCTGAGCACTGTCTGTTACCTTCACTCACACAGATAGTAAACATGTCCCTTCATTCTGGAATATTCCCAAAGGCCCTGAAA